CGACAGACGCGATGCAGTTCAGCCCCAGCATCGTCGCTGGAGCAGGTGGTGCTCAGTTTTGCCTGTAAGCAGGAGTCTGAGGGACTCGGGTGCTTCTCCGTGCTCTGTGTTGCTGCTGGCTGAATTCAGAGCGTAGAGGAGCGGCGTGGCTCAGAGCCCTCGGAGCTACTACCAGCTCGGTAGGAGCTGATGCAAGTGGGCACCTGCTCCGCAGAGATTTACAGGGAGGTGGTGACTCAGAAGTCAGGCTGCTTGTGAAATGAGAGCAGCAAATTCTGGAACTGGAAGGTTTGTGGTATCATTCATCTCCCAGGGTGTCTGGCTGAGCTGGTGTGGTTTGCCTTCGAGGAGATGCCTGGCGCTTTTAAGCTTCCCTGAAGAGAGTTTGTGCCTCTGAAGAACCCGCCTCATCTGGGAGCCGTAGAGCTGCTCCTTGGGGTTGGATTTTACTAAGCAGAAAGGGCCAGGAGTGTAACGGGGCTATTGTTTGAAGTGCAGTGTTGAAGTTGGAATTGTCTTCTGGCAGCAATGGTTTTGACCACTGTATTGAAGCAGGAGTAATAAGTACGATTGCAAAGTGAGCGTGCGGTGGGTGCTTTGATACATACATAAAACCCAAAGAACAGTGAGTTTGGCTGTTGCTGTAAAAGCTTTGTCTCGCTATTTTACAACAACAAAATACCACCATCTTTTTTTCTGGAAAAAGAAATCTCAGTCAACTAATATTTTCAGAACCTTCCCTCATCTTCTGTGGGCAATTGAACCCGCTCCTAATTAGAGAATTAGGTCACATACTGTTTTTTCACAGTAATGTGTGCTCTGATAGTCTCTGCTTCTGTTGCTTCTGCGAAGCTACGCGCCTTTTGGATAATCAGCTGGGGTAGCTTTGAAATCTGAGTGAATTTGATGCCGCTGATATTCCTGACAGCCTGGGCCATCGGATTCCCTCTGTCTCTGGCAGGGTGGGATGTGTGTGCTGGCAGGGCTCGCTTCTCCACCGGCGTGCTGGTGCTCTGCCCTGACAGACACCATCCCCTGACAGGAAGGCACGTAGATTTTGTGAACAGCTAGTGCCCGGCCTGCTCTCTGACACGCGCCTGATGCTGTCCCGAAACTGCAACGGTGGGATGTTATCTAGAGGCTCTGTTTGGAAGCCTTTTATTTCTAAGTGCGGTGGCGGCCTTCTCCTCCCCTCCCAGACCCCACATCCCAGTTTGAAACAAGTGTTGTATCGTCTGTGACTTGTTTGATCTGTCCAGAAAGCAGAATTCGCTGTTATTGGGGTGAAACGGAGCGTCATTTAGGTTGATCTCGTCACAGGGACATCTCATCTCCAGCTCAGATCCCCAGCCTCTGGTGGGGAGGGGTAAAGCCCTTGTGCCCTCTCTGTCCCGCTAGGATCTGCTTTGGCGGGGGCTGTAACAAAAGAACAGGAGCCTGATTTCCAGGCCGGAGCTGCTCTGGCTGGGTAGCCGTGGTTGGTCCGCCTCCTGCAAACATCAAGGTTTCTAATGGAGCCCATGACAGACCATTAACTACAGTGTCACAAGACCGTAATTAAGAGCCAAGGAGCGGCGCTGTGCTATTTCCTGCGTCCCCTCGCTGCAGTCAAAGCCTAACACGGCCTGGCGGGGTGCAGGTCCTGGGGTGGTTTTCAATCTGTCATTCTTCTCC